ATTCACAAATCGAAGCCACAAACCCACGGGGGCATCCGGAGGTTTTAACCTTTTTTTGGTGACTCCGGCGAGTTTCACCGTCGATGATCACCACCAAAAGACTCATCTCAACCCCAGGAGCAAGGACCAAGATTTGGTGGAGGCATCAGAGTTCGTTTTTGTGGCGAATCAACAACTACCCAATTTTAAGGGTTTCCGGCGGGTTTTCATGAAATTGAGGCTTTTCCCAGAAAAATTGACCTTAGTCACAAGTATGAAAGTTTCTCCACTTACTGAGATCTTCATTTCTGTGAAGTTTGAGAATTTTTAAAAATAGTTGAATTTTCCGACGAGTCCCGGCGGCGCGTGGGCTGAGACGTTCCTTGACCTTTCTAGGCTAAATTTGAGTACCCTAATTCCATTGGTGAAGTCCGATTGATGAATTTTCATCATTTGAACGTAGTTCCACTAAGGTCTGCCGCTTGATTATTATAATAATTGACAATCCGATCGTTGGATTGTCACCTAACTCTAATACGTTATAATACGTAATATTTGAGGATGCTAAAAACTTACGGATTGGGAATCCAACGTACGGATCTTCCCGAATAAGATAAGTAAGTTATATGTTATATTGATAAGAATTCTAAGACATGATTTGATAATTGTTCTAGGCGTCGATCGTTTGTGACGCCTTGATGTTTGTGCTAGGGAGCTGTAGTGTGGACTCCAGGTGAGTGGACTTTTTGGTTTTCTATATATACGTATATATGTTTCCCATTTTTCCCAGAAATGGTTTTAAATGGAATTTTGTTTAAAATGCCATGTCATGGTTGCTTTACATTTTAGCCTATTCATTAGTATAACATTGCATAATGTTGCATGATGATGCGGAGCCCAGGTAAGTTACAAGTGAGTACATTATGATGTTAGTGGTTGCGATGTATATGGATATGCTTGGATGCATTTGGTACTCATTATCCTGCACCCCTGTGTTAGTGCTCCACCCGAGGTTAGGGCCAGCCTTCACGTGATCGTTCACCTCCCACACCATACGCTCACCTTGGATCCAAGGTAGGTGTCAGCCTGTCGTACTGACCACATTAGGTGGTTCTGACTCGTAGGTGACTTGCGATACTTCGCACATCCTTCACGTGATCGTAGCACTTGAGCGTATTTATTTACACCTAGCCTATCGTACAGACCATATTAGGTGGTTTCGACTTGTGTGCAAGAATTGTTTAATGAGCTATAAGTTCTGCAGTACAGGTCACACTAGGTGACTCCGGCTAGCATATCATTTTACATTGATTTATTTCACCTGGCTTACTTATTTCATTGCTCAGATACTTGACATGGCATATACTTGGTTTTCACTACTCTTGAGCATAATTTCTATATATGTATGTATTATTATTTTCTAGGAAATTATACGGGTTTTAGGGCGAGGGGTACAATGTTTTCAAAAGGTTTTTATTAAAAACTTTATTTTCAGGCCCACTCACCCTTATTTTTGCACCACTCCAAGTTTTAGCTGTTGAAAGTCCGTATCGACGAGGATTTGTGGCGAATCTCAGTATAGGTGGCTACCTCTGAGGGTATGATCCTTACCTACACTACTGTACTTTACTTATGCTCTGACATTGCGTGTGAAACGGGCTTGTACCCGCTCGCAGTGCACTTTGGTCCTTAGGCACTTTTAGGTTTAAATTTAATCACATTTTCCACGTCACCATACTTCATGGCTTCGTCACCTTCCAGGTGTCGGTCAGCACAGCTCGATTCGGAGTCCTAGTAGACATTTTGGGTCTGGGTATGTCAGTCGCGGTTAAGTCACATCAACATTTTATATCATTATTGCTTTTTGTCTTATTATCTCTATAAAAAAATCAATATAAAATGTTGACGTGGCTTAACCGTGACTGTACAAAATAGGAGGGAATGTGAGTGTATGGGAACTGGGAGGGCAGAGAAGCTGGGTCCCTCATTCAAATCATCTCCAGCCGAAGGAGGACCAGATGGCTTGTTTTAATCCTTTGATCCATCAAAAAATATTTTACTAAATAATGCAGGGTTATATTTCTTACTATCTTCAACCCAAAATTGCAACGCATACTTTTCTCCTATTTTCTTGCATCCAAAGTGGCATGAACTCTCATTTTTGTTTCAAAGTCTTTTAACTTTAAAAGTCTTTATCACATTATCTTCATTCACTTTTAATAAATAACATTCTCAAACGCCTAAAACCTTCTTCTGAAACTTCTTAAATTTTATGTGTAAATTGTAGACATGTGTTTTAGAAGGTGATGGAGACTTCAAAATAGGTTCTTCATCCCATGTTTTTAAAATCATATTGTGATTCTTTTTCTTGCATATCTTGCAAAGCCACTATGTATTTTCTAACAAATTTTTTCAAGGTAGTTTTCTTGTTCACATATTTATCGAAAAAAGAATTTTATGCTTTCAGAATGTTGAGTTGTAGACATTCTAGCAAAAAATGTGTCTCTTATATAAGTAGGCACCCATTATAAACGTCTTCAAGTATAGATTTAAGTCATTAATCATCTTCAAGCTCAAATGTTTCAATCATATCCAATCATTTGTTCTCAAAGTCTTCACTTGTTCAAAAATTGTAAATGCAATTATCGAATACATGCTCATAAAGTTTTCATGTTTCTTAATCACTTCTCCAATCTTTTTTATGAGCTTTGCTTAATATCTGCCATAAACAAAAGCAAAGTCGTGAATTTAGAAATACCTAAACAATGGGTAACTTCATGGCTTTGTCTTGGTTAGTTAGTATAGCAGCCAGAGGTTTCCACCCATTGCTCTAACCTATGTTTTGATTAACCAAACAATGCATATCCAAGTATTGTGGACTAAAAGTGGTTATTCACGCTACAAAATGGAGCAAATGTTATCTTGTATTTATTTGTGATGTATATAGTATCAAAGGAAACCATGTCTCCAAAAGTCTATAGTCTTCACGACCTTTTACATAACCCAAATTGTTTTTTTCAAGCATCGATATTCATCTACATTCATTGTATAAAAGAAATTGAGATTCTCTTCCTGCATATGCATAAAATGCTCAAGCATTGTTGTATCATCCGCTGATGCTAGTTCTAAACGTCTCTTTTTATTGAAATAATTTTGCTCAGAAAACTGTTTGAATTGAATTGGACTCACCATTTATTTTTATTTTTTTATGAAGGGCTCCCCGTATCAATCGAAGTGCTCTAGCATTCTGAGTTTTTCATGACCACTTTTATTATTTTTATTGGTTTTTAATAATGTGGGTCCCAGGTTGTTTTTGAGTATGGGATGGAAGCGCATCGTGCCTAGCTATTCTCGCTAGACGGCCCAGACTTGCTTTACTAGCGAGTCTGGCTAGGAATTCCTAAAAAAAATTGGAGAAAAGAGAAATGCGGCAAGACTCGTCTAGGCGAGTCCGTCCCAACTCGCTAGGCATGTGTAATTAAGCTGCCATAATAAATGTTGAGTCTGGTCCCACTGTTAATCCAATAATAAAAAATAAGAATAAGTGAAGAAAAATATTTGAAAATTTTAAGTTTTAACGATAAAGGTAAAATAAAAAGTAAAATAAATAGTATCAGATTTGACTTTTTAGTGTAAAAATGTGATTTTTCATTAAAGTGAACAGTATTACAGGCTTTTCATTAAAATTTCTTAAAAAATAAGACCATTAAATTTATTTATTTATTTTTGTTGCAAGTTGAAGAAGAAAGAGATAATATTATTTTCAATTGCATATTTTGTTTCTTCCTCTCTCATACAAGTGTTTGTTTTTCTATGGCCAATTTCAGGACTGCAGCTATGAATACGATCCACAAATACCAAATTTGTTAAATGAGTGAGAATGGTTTGAGATTTTAACAGACTTAGCGTTCATCTTGAAAGAGAGAGAGAGAGAGAGAGAGAGAGAGAGAGAATGCAAATAGAGGCTCTAGAGGGAGTCTTCCAGACTCGCTTTTTAGGCGAGTCGTGCTAGCTAGCATTTCTCTTGGAGAACATTAATAAAGCTGAACTTAAGAGAAGGGACAGCCACTACGGGACAAAATAAGAATAACTGAAAATTAACTCGTTTAAGGTAAAACTTGTATTGAAAGCCCAAGACTTAAGAGAGATTTTTTATTGTAATCGGTAAACGAGATGGTACATGACGTATTACTATATAAATAGTAAAATATGTATGTTAAAAATTTAATAATTTAAAAAAATAAAATTTTTCACCACTTACATAAAAACATGTAGTGTATCAACCTTATTCCCGTCACAACTAAAAATTCCTCCAAGACTTAATTATAAACTTGCACCTTGAGTTTAGTAGTTCAATTTGGGTCTCTAAACCTTTTTCTGAACCAAATTGGTCCCTTAAAATGTTGTAAATGTGGGACAATTCATTACAACCTAATAAATGGTTTAGGTTCCCAACGGTTTCCATCGGTTCTTATTTATGCGGTGATAGCCATATAGGAACAGGAAATTTACTATTTTTGTATGTCTGTTTAAAGTATCTTGGGATTAAATTATTGGTTTGAGAACATTTACACATTTGACACTGCTGTAATTATATAATTTGTTGGTTGATAAATAAAGCCTCGAGTAAATTATGTGTGCAATTCAATTCAAACAGTTTTCCGATTGTTATAAAAAAAGAGGTGGTAGATTGTCTTGTTTTGATGGGACCTTATTCTTCAGCGTATTATGCCCAACGTTTAAACCCTCTTATACCTCTTAATGTTGTTGTTTAGAGATGTTAATATCTCAGAGTTTATACCTCTTAATGTTGTTTAAACTCTGAGTCTCCAGATGGTTCTTGTTCTATAAACTGGAATGACATTTTGACCATTTTTTATGGTGATGATGAAACTGGTAGCCGGAAAGTCTCGGATGTTGAGGTGAGATAATCATATGCTTTTTCTACATATTTTTTGTATGTACTTGCGCCTGCTAAAATTTAACACCTGCTTGTTTGTGTTTCTTAATCCACCAGTTGTGTTCTGCGTTGGGAGAGATTCCGAATTCAACCTCTCAGCTGCCGCAACCGCCGCAGCTGCTGCAGACACCAGAACCACATCAGCCACCGCATCCACATCAAACACAGGATTACTACCCCTCCACACATCAGCCACCTGAGCATATTATTTCAACCAATGATCCCAATGAACCAGTTAGCAAACCTAATGGTGTTCAAGATCTAGCTACCGATGAAATCATTCCAGAGGTAAGAACCAGTCTCTGAATGTTGTATCCTTCATTTTCCAATATGGAGCACAAAAATTACATCAAAACTCAACATTTTCTCGTTATGTTTCTAAATCCAGGATTGTTTTCATCCAGATGAATTTATGTGTCTGCCGTTTGATCCGTCACAAGATTACTTGCTGCCGTCACCAATGAACATGGAACTGGGAGATGTGTGCATCCCAATAACTGTATTGGATGCACTGATGAGTTGCGATCTCTAGATATATGGAGATTTAAACACTTTTCCCATTAGGTTCTTGATTTATCATTGTCGACCAGGATTAGTAATTAGTATCCTGGAAGAAACAACAAACCCTACTTTTAGTGACTCTAATCTACCAAGAGTCACAAGCACGAGTCTAAGATAGCAACAGTAACATAGATTTAGTTGGTATTAGTTACTCTAGAATAGCTAGTGAACAAGAAGATTTAGTTGTCAAAAACAGCAGTATGGGACTTGTAAACCCCAAGAACTCTAGCAGAACTCTAGCAAGAGTACACCCTTATCTGCATTTCAGGAACCGTAGGCATTAGAAACTTCTTTTCCTAGTTCTGGTGGATATGTCCAGGACAACCGATGTAGGTTACCTAAGCCTATTCTTGTCCTTTTTGGACGTTTTTAAGCATTCCCTAGTTTTAGAAACTTCAAAGCGTGTGAGGTGAACCTGTTAGTTCAAAGTAACAGCAGCAAAACCAGTATTTGAGATTTCAACTGGAAATCTTTCCTACAAGGAGTCTAGATGAAGCAAAGATGTCTCTCAGAAGCAGTTGTTTGGAGACCGCGACTCTCCTGTCAACAGAACTACAAATAATCCTCAGCAAAATTGTCTGTTAATATTGTACTGTCTTCATCAAAAGTCATATACCTCAACGAGATCGTCTTCAATCATCATTCATTCGTGTCTATCCACTGGAAGTTGCTCCGAGAAAAATCCGACTGCAAAGCTGTATCACAAGACAAGGTAAGCAATCAAAGCTAAAATTGTCAATAAAAGCTCATGTATTGACACTTTGGGAAGGCTATTTTCTGTTTTCAATCAACTTAATTTGATTTCTTTTAACTCTATTTCCAGGTCAGGGAAGCTGCAGAGTTGCATTGCTCTTCATCGGCCCCGGAAGAAAACAAAAACCGAGTCTTTGAAGCATACAGTTTTGAAGCAGGCATCTATAGGGTTCTTTCTTTGAAGCATCTCCTTAAAACCACTTATCAAGTGTCCCCGATGGGGAATGGTATTGTTACTTCGATACCAAGTTCTAGTTCTAGCCTCATACTCAGGCTTTCGTTCCACAGTCGTTTATTCTGGAAATGGCGTTATACAGGATCTGCTGCAACATGGCTGCTGGAGTCCCAAATATATTACAATAGCCAGACACTAAATGGTGATGTCCTGGTTGTTGGTATTGAAATTTGAGGTTCCATCCCTAATGGAGTAGCAATTACAATCATTATCAAAATTTGATGATTATGATTGGTATAATCCGTTGATAACCTTCAGAATTAAACACCCATCTTATGTAAATATTGCTTTAATTAATTTCCCTGTATCATCTCAAGCACTATTTGGATGCGACTTTACCAGAAATCAAAGAAGTTGCGTACTGTGAGGCCCCATCATCCGTCACTCCATAGACATCCGGCAAAGTCTAGCTCATGACTATAAAGAAGAGCTTATTGGGAGGCAACCCAAGTTTTCCTAATTTTCCTTTTGTTTTCGCTGTTTTTCATTTTATTTTTTTGTTGGAGTCAGCTTTAATTTCTTTCATGCTTTCAGGAATAGTGGTCTGCAACGATTCAAGTTTGGGGGAGTACGTTAGGCCATCTCCAACCGATGGCTGGCCAGAAGGCTCGTTTTAATCCTCTGGCCCTCCAAGATCCTCTAAGATATTAATATTATAATGAACAGTATATGATCATATTTACCTCTGTCTCCAACTGAGGGTCAAAGGGCCAGAGGGCTCGTTTTAGCCCTATCACAAAAAACTGTCTTCAACCGAGGGTCATAGGGCCAAACATAATTTATTATTTCAAAACTACAACTTAAATGTTGTTAAATGTTTTTTTTTTTTAACAAATATGAGAAACTACAAATGTTTTTAATAATTTGCTAAATGTTGTTAAAAACTACAAATTTTGTAAAATAAAAGTTATAGAAAAAAATAGAATTTAAAAAAAATATATATGAAAAATAGAAGTTATAGGAAAATTTTTGTAAATAAAAAATAATAATAAAATTGTAAAAAAAAAAAAATTCAAATCATTCCTGTTAGTTAAAACCGACAGGATTTCCATTTTTTTTCGCCAGCCCTCCAGCCTTCTCCGATTCTGTGGGGCCCTCTCAGATTCCACAACCCTCTGGTCTAGCCCTCAATTGGAGATGACCTTACAAGGCATCCTAATAGCATCGCCAATTTCCTAAACGATTTTGGGTTCGTCGCATCGGTGCTCCCCTGTCGAGTGCATAGGCGGCCGCCAAGGCCGCTTTTTAGAACATTGAAAAATAGTATCTCAAATTTACATTTATTCCATTGAAGTAAAACTTACATTTACATTTTGAAAATGTAAAACAAGATATAGATGCAACTTTACATTTCAAATAGAAGTGTTCGCATTGAAGATATTCTTATAAACATATGTAACTCATTCTTTATTCGACGTGAGATTCATACAATCAATATCAATATAGAGAATAAATTCCACTTAAACATAACACGTAGTGTTGAAATCTTCTAAATTGTACACGTCTGCAATTTCAACATTTGTTATACCTTGGTCAACATTCTTGTCACTCCACATGGACACGCTCAGTAGACGTAGTGACGTAATGCTCTGCCTTCACAAACAAGGAACAATTATTAGTAGGGCTTTCGAACTTTTATTAGATTCCAGAATGTTCTTGAGTTCTCTCGATTTTGTTTCCCTCCGAAAAAATACTGTAGAAAATTAGTAAAGCTGAACCTATGGGAGGTGGCAAATAAGAATCATGAGATTCCCGGATGAGGATCTCTCTACGAGGATCCTAGAGATTCTCACATTTTATTCGTTTATTGTATATTATGCGGTTAGATTTCGTTAGGTACTATTTATGTTTAGTTTTAAATTAAAAATTCAAAATGATTTCTGACCGCATAATAAACGATAAACGGATAAGATGTGATGATTCGGATAAGATTTAAATCCAGGATTTCCACTACACAACAAAATAAAATAAATAAATTAATTAACGCCCAAAGGACGTTGATGGGATCCACTGTTTGTGACTATGGTAAAACTTGTATTGGAAGCTCAAGACTTGATTAAATTTGCACCTTGAGTTTTTAGTAGTTGTTCTATTTGGGTCTTTAACCCTTTTTTGACCAAATTGGTCCCCTAACTTTACGAAAATGTGGCAAAATGAGGACAAATCGAAAAGATTTTTCAATATGCCGGATACATGGTTGGTACATCATATCATAATACAATTGATTGAAAATGACAAAATTACCCTTGAGAAACACTGGAACTCCTACGTGCGAGCAGTGAATAATCATCTCTCAATCAAGTTAAAAGTGCCCAAAATAGGTATTTATTCAAAACCTATTTCATCCATCCTCATCAAATCTTTTCCATAAGGTAACTCCCAAATCATTCCTTCTTTTATTAATTAGCTAATTAATTGATTTATTACCTAATTAATTTATTAATTAGCTAACAAATCATGAATTTCACCCAAAAAACCATCCAAGTGGCCGGTCCTCCTCCTCCCAAAGGGGCCGGCCACACCCTATATAAACCATCTCATTTTCTCCAAAACTCAATTCCAATTCTCTTGCAAAATTCTCTAAATTCTCCAAACATTTTTTTCTCAAAATTCTAACTTTGACATTGGAGGTTCCTCGGCCAAAGCCCCCCCCACCCCATTCATCGTGGGCGCGTGAGGCTCTTGGCCTTGACTTAAGGTGTTATTTGTTTTGTAGGTGCAATTTTATTCAAGAAGAAGAAGACAGAAATTTGTATCCACAACAACATTTTGTTGCAAGGCTTATTAGGAACTTTTATAATCCCTTCAAACGTTTCAAGGAATGAAAAGAGGGAAGTTTTTCCCATAACAAAAGAGAAGCATATTCTCCGTAGTTTTGCAATTAGAGTTGGAGTGATTCCTCCTACGTTGATGACTGACATTCACGATTAGCAAAGTAGAGTTATTTTGATGCCCTTGGTCAAGTGATCAGGCTATCGTTTGATCTCATCATTTTTGCCTATTTGTTAAGTGTTGGGCTCAAAAATGGAAGAGGCATCGAGCCTAAAAAATAATTTTAATCAACCCAGTTATCAAATACAAATATAATGGGTGTGGAGGAGACAACTCCGACGGCATATAAAATATGATGGACACAAATCAACTCAAAGCACAAAGGTCCATGAACTCGCCATTTTTTTTTTTTTTTCAAACGATGAACTCGCCATCTCAAATTATTGGACTTGTACCACTACAAATTTTCGTTAAATATCCAATTAATTAAAAAGGTACAAAGTCGCTCTAAAATTAAAACGGCACAAAGTCGCACTCAAATGGCAAAAAGCCTCACCAATATCCACTTTGATTGGTTTGATTCCACAAAAGATACATAGGTAGTCTAGTATTAGATTCTAGACACAACCACAACCAAATTTACCCTAAACACTTCAATCATCATATCTAAATGGCCATCCAAATTTCATTGAACTACGAGTCGACTTGATTCTCCTAAAAAAGGATACGTAGGCAAGCTAGAAAATCAAACATGACATTTCTTCATAATTTTAATCAAAGAGTGTTTTCTCTTGTGGCACATTACAAAAGATTGTAATTAAAACATTACTTAATCAAGAATGGGTCCAAACTTAAATAATAAAACCCTCTTTTTTTCGAGTAATGGTGAAATTGTGTTAGAAGAAATTTGTTCCCAAATTACAAGTTTCTGTCAACACTCTCTCTAGACATGTAAATTTCGGTAAAAATAAATGTTCATCAATACATTAAATTTCAGTATGTGAGGACTTACGTGGCATGCGAGGATGGATGATATTTGATGGAAATTGATATTTGATTTTAATTTAAATTAACAAATTAATTAATGAATTAATTTAAATAAAATGAAAATGCTAAATTGAGAAGATTGATTTGTTTGATTTTTTAATTTAATTTTTATTTGATTAAATCAAATATTAATTGAAGGAGTAAAATCACAAATCTCAAACAAAGACACGAATGAGGCCCCAGTTAATTCGTAGGTAAAACTTGGAAAGTCTATAAATAGGAGGCTTCAGGACAAAGAAAGGGTCTAGAAATCATTTTCACGCCCAGACGTTAAAACTTTGAAACTCTAAATCTCTCAAGCAATTACCAAATTCCCAAATACTCAAAAGAATTTAGAAAGCCATCTACGTTCTTCATCAAAACCTATGAAGAATCATCAAGCACCACACGTGCCGGTTCTTCCCTTGCCACAAGCCAAATCCATGAGGCAATAGTTCATCTAAGATCAAGTCATTGCGACCATTGAATCAACAACCCCTACATACACATTTTACATGTTTAGAGATCGAATCAGAGGATTCAATTAAAGAGATTGTAACCCTACAAATTCATTAATACAAATATTATTTGGACATGTGTTCTTATTTCATTTGTCACAGGATTTCGTGTGTACAATCTCAAACTAATTATTCTTCAGCATTTTCCTGGTACAACGTTCAACATATTTATGATCCTTGAATTTGATCCAACAATTTTCGAACCCTCAATTTATGCCAATAAATCAATTCAAAAATTAAATATACGTGGTTACTAAATTGACGTGCTACTCAAGAAAAATGAATGGTCATCATCAGGGAAAGAAAAAAATGGTGCAAGCTTGAATGTTGGCTTTTCAATCTCCAATTACAAGGTGAGATTCCTCATAAGAAAAGAAACAAAAATTACAAATTACAAAGTGAAAAAGACTTGATGCACACTCAAAGCTATAACCGCAAAGTCTATAAATTTCACAGATGAGGATTCTCTTTGGATTTTTTTTATGAAGAATTCGGGAATTATTTTATTGTGTTTGTTAATCGTATATCGTACGGTTAATTTTCATCAGATACTATTTCTGTTTGATTTTAAATAAATTTTTCAAAATAAATTTTTATTGTAGAATAACAGATAACCAAATACGATAAAGTAATTCTTAAAATTCTTACAAAGAAAAATCCGATAGAATCCTATTCCAAATTGGACATCTATAATACCTTAATCAACATTATTGTGACTCCACATGGACATGCACGGTTGACGTAGTGACATCATGCTCTGCCTTTGAGCAAGGCTTTCCAAACTTCCATGTATCACATTCCAGAATGTTCTTGAGTACTCTCGATTTTATCATTCCCACTACATGCCAGAATAAAATTAACTAAAAATTAACGCGTTAAAGCTAGAACTTGTAATCGAAGCTCGAGACTTAATTATAAATTTGCACCTTGAGTTTTGGTAGTTGTTACATTTAGGTCTTTAAACCTTTTTGTTTTTGGTTTTTGGGACCAAATGTGTCACGTAACTTTTAAAATGTGGAAAAATGATGACAATCCATAGAATCTCTAACTAATTATATTATGACATCTAATGTCTTAAACTTTGTTCTCAAGACTCTGAAAAATTTCTCGACAATTCATTATAACTTTATAATGGTTTAGGTTCTCAATGGTTTTCTTTGGTTCTTATTCATGGGGTGCTGGCCATATAGGAGATTTATTGTTTTTTATGTCTGTGTAAATTAT